TAATATGGTCTTAGTAAATAATTTGACAGTGTTGTGTGGCTGAGGAAAGTCACACAATGACTGAGGAAACCAGGTATATTTAGTCTAATGAAGAGCATTATTAAAATATTTATGTTTGTTGTAGTTACTGTTATTTTAGATTCTATTGTGAACCACCTAAAGATGTGTAACTGTGGTAGTATAGAAAGTGAATATAAATAAACAGCTGCCAATTTGTCAGGATCCAAAATGGAGTTATGGCTTATTCCATATGGTTTCAAAATGTGTTTATTTATCCTTCCCTTCATTGTGCATTCTGGTTTTCCTGATCTGAAGGACTAAGTCCAACAGAACTTTTTAGCATAGACGTGATATCAGGAACATTTTCACTCTAAGGTGTTGGGTGGGAAGAATAGCTCATATTTTACACAATGAGAAAGTGTGGGAAACTGGTTGCCCAGAAACTAAATCTCACAGACTGGGCAATCCTTTTTTACTCAAAATGGAACTTTGAAATATTGATACTATACGAACTCCATGCAAATGTCATTTTTAAGTAGTAAATTTAAACAATTGTATTGTAATAGTATTACAGTCTTAGTAAATAATTTGACAGTGTTGTGGGAATTAGTTGTTTAGCAGAGTGATGGCATTTGGGAAAAACTCTCTTTATGTCTAGTTGTTCTGGTGTGGAGTGTCCTGTAGCATCGTTTTGAGGGTAGAAGTTGAAACAATTTATGTCCAACCTTATGCAAATTCAAAATGACACCAAACGTTTTTAAAGCTTTCTCCTTATCAAAATACACAAATCTTCTCCTTTGGCATTAAAAGTATCCGTCAACCCCATTGTTGGACCACTTGGGAGTCTAGCTTTAGGAAAGGGTCATTCAGTTATGCCAATTAAATACGCCGATTCCTTGCTCCAAAAAACCAAACCACCAACTTCCCAGGGAAACCCTGGATGTACTTACATTGGCAAGTCCTCCAGAGTCCTCTATGGAACTTCACGCTACCTGTAAGGTTGGTGAAGCCCTCCAATCCTGAAGCATCAATTTGGTACCAAAAGTCTGTGGCCAGGGCAGCCACCAGGAAGGTGAAACTTATAACACCCGCCAAGACTGCAAACACAGAAACTTTGTTCAGTTTGACTTTCATGGCGATGGTTGTTGCTGTCTGCGTTGGCCCTTGAGATGGATGGTATTCTCCACTGGTCTTTAAGAATAAATGAACAGGACTGCCAGGGACATCTCTTGCAAGCCCACCTTCTGGAGTTTCCCTGGATGGCCAATGTCTGCAGTGTTTCCTTAAATTTTACTGATGTGTATGCCTACTGATAGTTCGATCATCTACTGGAAGGTACAGTCATGGACGGAAATTGAATTCTGCCCTTTTTCTTTATTTACTCTTCTCTTGTTGGTAGCTGATGCCCAGTTACTTTGGGAAAAGGGGAGGTGTTGACTAGCAGCGTCCCTCGCATTTCATCCAGTTGTCATGTGGTTAAGTAAATACGTAAGATACTCAGTGCTAACATTTCCTCTTTGTTAAAATGCCAAACAGCTCCCGATTAGACCTTGGGTTTTCTATTTCTACTTCTATTTCTATTTATGACTAGACTTCAATGTCTAGTTGACATGGAAGGAAACCCAAAGGAAACCAGTAATTCCCAGCACCATGGATAGCTCCTTAGGTGTGAATTGCGTGGGTCTTTGGATGGTAGAAGAATGAGTTTTCCCCCAGAAAATCCTGTGGTTTTTTTAAAAAACTATGAGGCATTTGGAGAAGTCTGCAATTGTCCTTCTTCATACAGTCTTCACCATATATGCTCAAGAGATCCTTTGGGGTAATTCTTATAGCTCTCCACTTGTGTTTTGGAAAAGCCAACCCCGTACATCTTGTGCGTTCCAAGCAAGTGGTATGCAATTCCAATTCTCTAAGGAAAAATAGCCACCGTGGATGCTAATTGTACACAGGAGTCAGTTTTCACAGTTCAATTAGCTTCACTAAATGGTCAATAGATTCAAGCAGCTTCCACGGACTTCATCATCTTGAGCAGGGGTGTCAAACTTGATTTCATTGAGGGCCACATCAGGATGGTGTTTGACCTCGGGAGCTGGGGTGGGCATGGACAGCTTGACCTCACTTATGTCGGGGTCATCTGTGGCGGCCTGAGTGCTCTGTTGGTGAAAACAGGCTCCTGAGCTCTGTTTTCAGCTGTGATGGGCTCTTGCAGGCCTCTGCCAGCAAAAATGGAGCTTGGGTGGGCCATGCATGCCTCTTGGGTCCCGTTTTCAATTACAACAGCCTTCTGCAGCCCTCTGCCAGTGAAAACAGAGCTCTATTTTGGCTGGCACAGGGCTGTGCAGCCCTCCCGAGCTCTGTTTTTGCTGGCAGAGGCACTGTGGACCGGTCCTTTATTGTTTCCAGGGTGGCCCCCAGGGTCCAGATCTAAGCATCCTGTGGGCTGGATCCAGCCCCTGGGCCTCGACTTTCATACTCCTGATCTTGAGCTATGAAGATCCATTCATGTCTGCTGTTAAAGCAGGTTGACGTCCTGATCTTTTGCTTTATTTTCTCTCTTCTTTTAGAACATACTGAAAGGTGGTTGAACTTCTGAGATACAGTAAAGGTTTTTGTCTACAACTCGGTTGGTAGGCAGAAGTTTAATCTGATGGAATCTTAGAATAACCATCTACTTTAAGTCCTTGCAATATATGAAGCAAAAACATCTTTCTGAATGGCCCAGAACTAAAGACAGGAGTTGTGCTTGATCCTGTAAGGAGGGGGGGGGGGTGGATCTACTAACTGATAGTTTGTTTTGGAACAATTGTTTAAATTTACTACCTAAAAATGACATTTGCATGGAGTTCGTATAGTATCAATATTTCAAAGTTCCATTTTGAGTAAAAAAGGATTGCCCAGTCTGTGAGATTTAGTTTCTGGGCAACCAGTTTCCCACACTTTCTCATTGTGTAAAGTATGAGCTATTCTTCCCACCCAACACCTTAGAGTGAAACTGTTCCTGATATCACGTCTATGCTTAGCTATAAAAAGTTCTGTTGGTCTTAGTCCTTCAGATCTGGAAAACCAGAATGCACAATGAAGGGAAGGATAAATAAACACATTTTGAAACCATATGGAATAAGCCATAACTCCATTTTGGATCCTGACAAATTGGCAGCTGTTTATTTATATTCACTTTCTATACTACCACAGTTACACATCTTTAGGTGGTTCACAATAGAATCTAAAATAACAGTAACTACAACAAACATAAATATTTTAATAATGCTCTTCGTTAGACTAGATATACCCGGTTTCCTCAGTCACTGTGCGACTTTCCTCAGCCACACAACACTGTCAAATTATTTACTAAGACCATATTACTATTATTATTATTATTATTATTATTATTATTATTATTATTATTATTATTATTATTATTATTATTATTA